GAACACAATAAGCCAGCACCTTCTCTGTCACTCCTACAGGGGGACTCAGGCGGCCTGATTACGTTTTTTTTTATTTTCTATTTTTTTTTATTATTTATTGGGCACCCCCTACATCCTTGTGTAAGGTGAAGCGCAGAAGCGTTTGCAGCGCCCAACAGGGAAGCATGCTAAGTTCATGCTTGCCTTTATGTCTCATGAGTTAAGGGCGTAGAAGCCTGAAGAGTCAAGGGCGTAGAAGCCTGAAGCCAGTGATTTATGTCATCAAGTTATTGGAAGCTCCAACAACTCCCTGAATACGAATTCGCAACTTTCGACTTACAACAGGTACCTACTTTACTGCTAGGTGAACAGAGACTAGTGGGGGCTAGGAAGTAAGTGCAAACAACTTCCACCGGCCCGGGAATCGAACCCGTGACATCTCGCTTGCGAGGCAAGAACGGTACCGCTTCTACCACCTGTCCCCCAACCTGATTACGTTGCAGAACGGGTCGAGGGTCGTGCTGGCTGGGGTCATCACCTTCGTGGCGTCTCAAGGCTGTCGTCGAGTACACACTGAGATACATTGTTGCGCAACATAGTCTCGGGAATGTTGCACGACTGTCTCAGAAAAATACAAATTTATTGCGCGACTTTCTCGCAACAGTCCAGAAACACGACTTCATATGTTTCTTGTTTCCCATCCCGTAAGGGAAACAAGATACAAAGTTTCTCAATCTGGACGCATTTGGCAACATGGAGTATCAGTTGACGTTCAGCCTGTGATCTGTGAGGTGGGTTTGCTTACACCTAAGAGCTACATGCATTATTGTTTGCTTAGTTAACAGTACTACATGTAGTTGATATCTTTTATTTTCAGCATCATGTGGACAACTGAAACAACACTTTCTATAATTGAGATGCTACATGCTATTCCTTCTTTATGGGATGTCACATGCCCAGACTATAAAAACCGATGAAAAAAGAAAGACGCCATACAGAAACTTGCAAATGAGCTAATGTAGAAAAATTAGGAAAGAACATAAAAAGTTGAGTGATTCTAAAAAAAAAAAAAAGTGGTTGTTCCCCTAAGAAGTGTTTGTGGTTCGGGTATGAACCGCTTATCTTCCTGATTGGAGGAAACGAGCCAAGAGGCGGCCGATGCACTGATGATGTAAATCAGGTGAGTATATAGCCTAAGACACAACAAAAATTAATACAAATTCCTTTGGGGCATCAATGAGAAAGTCATACACTTCCGGAACGATGGAAGATATTGACTGTTTTGACACTGAAGGTATACATCAGGCTTGTAAATGAGTCCCCACTGGCAAGATACCTTAATGGTACTGCAAGAGGTATTTTGGCAGGGATTGAGGCTCCATAGTTTGTATTTTGCTTTGTGATTTTGGGACCAACCATTTTCAGTAATATTTAAAAATCTGAAGCTATTGTTCTTAAAAAGTTTCTAAATCCAGCTGCATCTTCTTGTTTCAGGTCTGTCATTAGTTTTTCTCCATATTTTGTTCCTTCCTCCACCATCGTCTAGGACTTTACCTTGCTCTCCATCTTCTTTCTCCTTAGGAAATAAAAACACAGGCACCCGCTGCAGCGGCCACTTCTGCATCCACCGACATGATGACGTCGACTGCTCATCCCGCCAATTCATCGCTCTAGCTTGGGCTGGACCTGCAACAATGTTTCTGAACTGTCTCGCGGCTGTTGTGAAACAATCGTGAGACAGTCCAGCAACAAAGTTTGCCGATTGCTTCTGGACTGTTTCACAGCAGTCGGTAGACAGTCCAGAAACAATGTTACCGTGTATCCCAAGCGTTTCTGGACTGTCTCGCTACTGTTTCTGGATTGTCTCGCAACAGCCCAGAAACATTGTTGAGCGACTGTTTCTAGACAATGTATTTTGATGTGTACGAGGCTTAAGGCCACCTATCCCGACGGCCACATCTCTGTCGCTCACTTCCTTGACTGGACCCAGAGTATCATTGGCAATTAATGAAGAAAATAATTGTACTTAAAATTATTCAATAACCTTATCATTTTTGTTGCAGATCAATATAATCACGCAATGAAGTACACCAAACAAGCCTTGGGAAATCTTATCCAACCTTACCCAACCTATAACAATCCTAAAACTATAAATCATTTACTTTACCTTATTCGTGTTTTCGGTGTTAAGTATGTGTTGGTGTCTTTTGGGGTTCAGATGAGGAGGGGGAACCATGAACTCGAAAGCAATTTTTAACCTTTTATAGGTTAGGTCAGGTTTTCAAAGGCTTGTTTGGTTGTTCTTCTCAGTATTTTACTCCACAGTGTAACATTTCAATGTAGATCATTGAAAGTTTAATGGGCTATTATGATTTTTATATTAATTTATCAAAAAATAACATTTTTTGAATCAGTATAAGAATCTACATTAGAAAAAAATATTTCAAATTTTTTGAGTTCAGTACATGGGTCAGGGGACACTGTCAAAACCGTCATGGAGACCTAAGGTTATATTCCGGCCAGTACCTCAATTACTGTTCTATGAAGGACTGTTTTTGGTGTATAGGCTTAAGATCAAACCAGAGACAATGGCTCTTAAATTTTCTTCTAAACTTTCTTTTTTTCTAAAATAAGAATATGTATAGTAATAAATGGACGTGTCTCTCTCTAAATTGTGTGTCTGTCCCAGCTACAGCACAGCTCCAAAACGGAAGCAGTTAAAGACATGAAACTTGCACACACATATTACACAGGCCCCAAGGTTGTGCTCCTTGTATTACTGTTGACCACGGACCCAAGGGTGGTCCAGGAGAGAACCAAAAATCTTCCCAGACTGAGATATCACCACGGCGATTGTGGGAGCTGGCTACCCGTGTCAGGGAGGACAAACTGTGGCGGTCAGGATTAGGTTAAGTTGGTTTCGATTGGCTTGGGGTGGGGTAGTTTAGGTTAGGTATGGTATGGTATGGTATGGTATGGTATGGTATGATATGGTAGGGTAAGTTATATTAAGTTACAGTAGGTTAGGTTGAGGTTGTTACCCGTGTCAGGGAGGGCATACAGTGACCGTCAAGGTTATATAAGGTGAATAATAACAATAGGCTGTGCAATGATTTTATTTGTCCAAATTAACAATAAAATGTGCTAGATAAAATGTAAACAAATCTTACATATGCTTAATTTTCTCTTATAATAATACATAATTTTTGATGCGTGTGTGTGAAGCAGATGTGAGGTGTTAAACAGACGTGTGTGTGAAGCAGATGTGAGGTGTTAACAGATGTGTGTGTGTGTGTGTGTGTGTGTGTGTGTGTGTGTGTGTGTGAAGCAGATGTGAGGTGTTAAGAGATGTGTGTGTGTGAAGCAGATGTGAGGTGTTAACAGATGTGTGTGTGCGAAGCAGATGTGAGGTGTTAACAGATGTGTGTGTGAAGCAGATGTGAACAGGTGTGTAACAGCAGATGTGTGTGAAGCAGATGTGAGGTGTTAACAGACGTGTGTGTGAAGCAGATGTGAGGTGTTAACAGATGTGTGTGAAGCAGATGTGTGTGTGAAGCAGATGTTAACAGACGTGTGTGTGAAGCAGATGTGAGGTGTTAACAGATGTGAGGTGTTAACAGATGTGTGTGTGAAGCAGATGTGAGGTGTTAACAGACGTGTGTGTGAAGCAGATGTGAGGTGTTAACAGACGTGTGTGTGAAGCAGATGTGAGGTGTTAACAGACGTGTGTGTGAAGCAGATGTGAGGTGTTAACAGATGTGTGTGAAGCAGATGATTTGTGTTGCAGGGAAAGTGAACTTCAAAGAGTGTCACAACCAGGGTTCTAGTCACCATGTGCTACACAGTAAGAACGAACCTAACCTAAGCTGACCTGACCTGACCTAACCCAAGCTAACCTAACTGACCTTGAGCATCAGCAGTTTATAGTAGTCAGCAGGTAAGTATTGCAGTCAAAGCCTCAGTCAGTAGTGAACTTGTGACTGCCTCAAACATATCGATATTAAGGGTAAATTTAAGAACGAGGAACTAGGTTTCCAACCTCCAGACGCCCGTGAGCCTCAGTTAACACATAGAGCCAAGTTAATTATTGTGTATCTTCTCTCTTAGGCTGTATGACGTATTAGTTGCTGAACCAACATCATGATTAGATCTTTCATTCCGGTCAGCATCAGTTACGGTCAGCATCAGTTACGGTCAGCATCAGTTACGGTCAACATCAGTTACGGTCGACATCAGTCACAGTCAACATCAGTTACGGTCAACATCAGTTACGGTCAACATCAGTCACAGTCAACATCAGTTACGGTCAACATCAGTTACGGACTACATCGACATCAGTTACGGTGAACATCAGTCACGGTGAACATCAGTTACGGACTACATCGACATCAGTTACGGTCAACATCAGTCACGGTCAACTTCAGAAACGGTCAACATCAGTAACGGTCAACATCAGTCACGGTCAACATCAGTCACAGTCAACATCAGTTACGGTCAACATCAGAAACGGTCAACATCAGTAACGGTCAACATCAGAAACGGTCAACATCTGTAACGGTCAACATCAGTCACGGTCAACATCAGTCATAGTCAACATCAGTTTCGGTCAACATCAGAAACGGTCAACATCAGTAACGGCCAACATCAGTAACGGTCAACATCAGTAACGGTCAACATCAGTCACGGTCAACATCAGTCACGGTCAATATCAGTCACGGTCAACATGATTCGCGGTCAACATCAGTAACGGTCAACATCAGTCACGGTCAACATGAGTCGCGGTCAACGTCAGTAACGGTCAACATCAGTCACAGTCAATATCAGTCACGGTCAGTATCAGTCACGGTCAATGTTGGAAGCACTTGTTTACGCAAAAGTCCACCAGGCAGATTAACCTTTAGTAACACTAGTGGGAGGGGGTTTGGTAACAATAGTGGGAGGGGGTTTGGTAACAATAGTGGGAGGGGGTTTGGTAACAATAGTGGGAGGGGGTTTGGTAACAGTAGTGGGAGGGGGTTTGGTAACAATAGTGGGAGGGGGTTTGGTAACAATAGTAGGAGGGGGTTTGGTAACAATAGTGGGAGGGGGTTTGGTAACAATAGTGGGAGGGGGTTTGGTAACAATAGTGGGTTTATCGAAGCAACAAACATAACATCTGAAGCCCGTGTCTTCGACCGCCCTGTTCGCCCTGAAGGTGACACGAGCGAAGCCGGTGCTTGTAATGGTGCCGTCAGGTGAGTTTGTGCCACAATGTCTGGAGAGAGAGAGCAGTATTAAGTCTGTACGTTTCACTGTCTATACTGTTTTATTAATTTGTATATGACTTATGTATATGGACGTGTATATTACTGTTATGTATATGGCTGTGTACAGTATATTACTGTTATGTATATGGCTGTGTACAGTATATTACTGTTATGTATATGGCCGTATATATTACTGCTAGGTATATGGCTGTGTATATTACTGTTATGTATATGGTTGTGTATATTACTGTTATGTATATGGCCGTGTATATTACTGTTATATATATGGCCGTATATATTACTGCTAGGTATATGGCTGTGTGTATTAATAGGAGGGCATAATACCATGACATATTTTTTCTTGACGTCATTTTTATATTGTTAATAAAACACAAAAGTTAACACATTGGGAAAACCTCGAAGGTGTGAATTCAACTATGGTGACAACATAAGTAACTAGTCACTATGGATAACAAGTAAACTGTGGTGACTACACAAATAACTAGTCACTATGGATAACAAGTAAACTATGGTGACAACACAAGTAACTAGTCGCTATGGATAACAAGTCAAGTAAACTATGGTGACAACATAAGTAACTAGTCACTATGGATAACAAGTCAAGTAAACTATGGTGACAACACAAGTAACTAGTCACTATGGATAACAAGTCAAGTAAACTATGGTAACAATACAAGTAACTAGTCACTACGGATAACAAGTAAACTATGGTGACAACAGATGCAACTAGTCACTATGGATAACAAGTAAACTATGGTGACTAGTCACTATGTATAACAAGTAAACTATGGTGACAACACAAGTAACTAGTCACTACGGATAACAAGTAAACTATGGTGACAACACAAGTAACTAGTCACTACAGATAACAAGTAAACTATGGTGACAACAGATGCAACTAATCACTATGGATAACAAGTAAACTATGGTGACAACAGATGCAACTAGTCACTATGTATAACAAGTAAACTATGGTGACAACACAAGTAACTAGTCACTACGGATAACAAGTAAACTATGGTGACAACACAAGTAACTAGTCACTACGGATAAAAGTAAACTATGATGACAATACAAGTAACTAGTCACTGTGGGTAACAAGTCAAATCAATGTTCCATATTGGTATTAACTCCATGCAAAGTAAGATGTTTGTTTATGATACTGATAAAACTTAGCTGAGTAACTCACCTCTCAGTAGCGCCCCTGGACGTTAGTATTAGGCGGTCCTTCACACAGTTGGTACTGTCCCCTAAGCAAAAGTATGGACATCTAAATTTGAGATAGGTAGACTTCTCTGGTCCACAGTTGAACGTCCACTGACATCTGTAAACAAAGAAAAGGTTTACCAGGTGTTGATAATGATGTCAAATGTCGCTTACTGTTGATAGGGATGTCAAATGATGGCTCAAACAGGTGTTGATCATAATGCTGAGTGAAATTTGTAACAGGTGTTAACAGTGATGCCAAATGAGGCTGTAACAGGTGTTAACTGATGCCAAGAAAGGTTGTAACAGGTGTTAACAGTGATGCCAAGTACTGTAAGGTTGTAACAGGTGTTAACAGTGATGCCAAGCAAGGCTGTAACAGGTGTTAACAATGACACGAAAGCTTAAAAATAATAGTGATGGTTTAAACATCAAGGAATAAATAAATTATATTCCATACACTTTATTTATACAGCGTATGTGTGTGTGTGTGTTTGTATGTGTGTGTTCGCACACAGGGTGGTGAAATGCGTCTCGTGTGGCAGCATCATGCTAGTGTTAAGGTACAATCACTGCTTGCTCCCTCTCGCTTTCAGCTACCACCTCTGGCTAGCCCTCTTGGCAAACAGGAAAACAACTTGTATAAGTCTTTCCCCAGCAGTACGCAGCCTCCTCACCATCAAGACTCATGCTGTGCCTCCTCGTGGCGACATATGGTAACTGGGTGCCTCGTGGGCACAGGCTAGACGGAGACCTCGGAGTAGCAGTGGGCCCCAGAGGGGCGGGGCATAGGACCATTGGCATGTGGACAGGTCCTGGAGCCTACTAACTACAGCCACCGCCCCAAACGACAAATCTGCGGTGGAGCCCTGCATCAGGCAGACATGCTTACAGAGTTCCAACAAGACCCCAACGGCGGTATAGGCGGAAGAGGTGAACACCATGGAAACCCAACGACTACACCGGCGTACGAAGAAGACAATGCCTGTAGGACAGGGAACTAAGGCGAAACCCAACAAACTGGGCTATTGGCAGTCCATTGGAACTCTCCCTCTCCCTAGTCGTTGCAACACTTGTACCACTAGATCAGGAAAAGGGAGAGCCAAGATGTGTGGTTGCAGCCTGCGCTCCTGCCTCACCACATAAATCAACTAACGCACAGCCATCATCCAGCTCATTATACCTCTCATCATCATCATAACATGACATGACATAAAGGCTAGTGACATGGGGGGGGGGAAGGAGGTTCAGGGGAAGGATAAAGGGAGGATAGAAGTGAATTTTATAAGGAGAGGAAAAGTGCAGTGGCTTAAACACCGCTTGCGTGAGGGGGTAGGCAATGTGCCCAGATGGGTGGGTGGTGCTGCAACACACTGCCAGGACGAGGCCTAGTGGGGGCCGGGAGTAGGGTCGGGCTATCAATGGGCCAAGCGTGGGAGCTCTGATGGTCGTCAAGTGCTCAGGATGTGTTGGTGAAGCGGAGGACGAACCAACCGCCCCGCCACGGCGGCGGCGCAAGCAGAGAAGCGCAGGGGGGCGGACCCACGGACACCTCTCACTGAAAGAAAACCAAGGAAAGGGAAACGGAATGTAATTAGTTGTAAAGTTGTTTGGAGAAAGGCGACGGTAAAGTCTTTGAGCTATGTCAAAGACGAACAGAGCGAGTTGGGGGAAGTGTTTTGAATCTTTGAGCTTGAAATGTCAAAGTATTCGTAGCAAGGAAGGATGAGCGTATCGTAGGATAATTTTTAATGAAGGCAGGAGACAGAATTGAGCTTTTTTGTCAAATTATTAACGGAGATTAAGAGGAGATTTTTTTTTCATGAGTTCGCAGTATGTTTTTTTTTGGGGGGGGGTGGGGCGGTGGGTTGTTGTGTATAGAGGTTGGTTGGTTTAATTGTAATCTGGGGCTGGGCTTTTGGTGTCGGTAAGTTGATATGTGGAGTGATAGTTTTTGTTTAGGGAGGAGTTGTTGAGTTTGGTTGTTTTTATTGAGAAGGGTTGTCACTGAGGTTGGGCATGTTTGGGTTGGTTCTGGAGAGTTGTAAGTATTTCAGTGAGGCTTTGTCTGGGGGGGGATGTTGTGTTTGGAGATTGGTTGGGGAGGCGGAGTTGGAGGTCGGGTGTGTTGATTTGTGTTGAGATAGGATTGCTTAGGGGGGATTGTTGTGTGTGGATAAAGTAAGGGGGGGGGGGAGGTGGACATTGTTAGTAAGGTCAGGTATGATAAGTTTCTTGGGAGGATTGTAGGTATGGATATGTGGTTGGTTGAGTTGAGTTATTTATTATTTATTCTTTTATTTATTTAATTATATTATTTATTTATTTATTTATTTATTTATTTATTTATTTTTATTTATTTATTTTATTTATTTTTTTTTCCCGTGTGCTCATACAGGTCTTCTGCATTTGCGGGGTGGGCTTTTGTAGGTATTGTGCACTCCCCACGGAACCTCCTTGGCGTCACTTCCTCTACAAGGACAGCCCGTTACTCGAGGGAGTATAGTTTCATTCTTCGAGGGAGGGCTTGTGTACAGGTACTATGCACCCCTCCCCTACCTCATTGGCTAAGGGGGGCGTCCAAGCCATCTGTATGCTAGTATGGGATGGGTATGTTAGGTTTTTGTTTTGGGAGGAGTGGTAGGGTGTGGTTAGTGAAAGGTTGAGTTGGGTTATTTTTATTTTGGGGGGATTGTTAGTAAAGGTTGGGTATGTTAGGTTTTGCTTTGGGAGTGGTTGTTTGGTATGATTAGGTGCTGGTTGAGTTGTGTAAAGGGAGGGGCAGGTTATTTTTTTTAATATAATTTTTATTTATTTATTAATTTGTTTATTTATTTATTTATTTATTTATTGAATTTTTTTATTCATCAAAGCCCCTATACTCCCAAAAGTCCTATGGCGATGGACGAGTAGCGACGGGGACAGGCAGAGATGACTGCCGGGTGTCTCTAGTCACAACTCTGCACATGGGCGGCACAGATAAGATGTCGTTTATGCACTGGGATCAAGGAAGCAGTGTAATCCGGTCCTGTCTGTGCGACTGAGCAGCCCTATGTAGGAGCCACTCTGCTCCCCCCACATGGGGAGGGGGCTCGAAAAGGTACCTAAAAACCCAACCTGACTGGGCAACTGCACCCAGTAAGGTCATCCTTATGCGGTCGAAAACACAATAAAATTCACAGATCCAAACAAAAACAAACCATACAACCTCTTATGGTCGCTGCATGGAATGTCAGGACCCTTCTGGATACTGGCACAAATGAACATCCTGAAAGAAGAACTGCCCTTGTGGCAAAAAAACTGGCCAGGTATAACATCGGCATAGCAGCCATCAGTGAGTCCCGGCTCCCAGAGGAGGGCCAACTCACAGAGCGGGGGTCTAGTTATACCTTCTTCTGGAAGGGTAAGCCTGCTGTGGAGAGAAACCGCATTTATGTAGTTGGCTTTGAAATCCTCCAACGCATCCTACACAGGCTAACTGAAATACCTATTGGGATCAACGAGCGCCTTACGAGGCTTCGAGTCCCGCTGAATCACTCACAGCATGCATTTTTCAACTGGATGCAGAGGATGATGACATCAAGGAGGCCTTTTACGCCGACTTCGACAGAGTACTAATCTTTATGCCCAGAGAAGACAAGGTTGTGTTCCTTGGTGACTTCAATGCCGGAGTTGGTAGAGATGCTAACATTTGGCAAGGAACCTTAGGAAGAAATGGACTAGGAAAGTGTAATCCCAACGGCCTACTCCTCCTCAGAAAGAATGCTGCACACAACCTCACTATGACCAATACCTTGTTTCGGCAGGACAACCACGATCCAAACACTGGCATCTCATTGTCTACATCATTGTCAGGTAAGATGTCACCATGATGTCCTCATCACCAGTACCATGTGTGGCTCAGACCACTGTGACACTGATCATTGACTTATCAGAGCCAAGCTCTCACTTCACGTCGCCCCAAAACAGCGAAGGTAGCAAGCCTCCAGAAGAGATTTTAATACTAAGCGTCTGGAGGATCCAGTTGTAGCACATGCTTTCAGAGAGCAACTCGAACATGGGCTTATAAACAACCCAACAGCAAACAACACGAATCCCAGTGCCGAATGGGATACTCTCAACACTGTTATGACAAAAAACCTGCAAAGAGACCATCGGCCAGATCGAAAGAATACACCAGGACTGGTTTGATGATGAAAATGACCTGGCAATCAAAGTACTCATCGATGATAAACGTGCTGCGTTTGCTGACTGGCAAAACAACCCTCAGTCTCGGATCAAAGCTGATACCTTCCACAAGAAGAATGTGGCTGCCCAGCGGGAACTTCGGAATCAAAAGAATGACTGGCTTAAAAATAAAGCATGTGAATTACAAGAAAACTGCAGATCAGCACAAGATGCGTGAATTTTTCAATTCCATTAAAATATCTTATGGGC